TTATATATATATATATATTATATATATAACAGTATATCTAAACAAAAAGTTTAAATAAAATATAGAGTATATTCTAAATGAAGTATATGTTCGTCATTTCTGTTATTTGTAAGACTCTAAAATTATAAAATAGAAAGAAATTTAATTTTTAATTTTGCAATTACTTTTTTTTATTAACTTAACTTTTAATTCAGTTAATTTCATTATACATTAACTTGTATCTTAACTATGTTAAATTTTCAAGGTTGTTAACTTTAACTTAACTTAGTTAAAAGAAAAAATTAACTTTCCCAACTCTGCTAATTAGAATCACAATATATTAATTACGATCGGAATACGAATTGCATGATTATTTGTACGACATGCCCGATCATATGCGATGTGTATTCTTGCGAAATGTGTAAAATACTACCAGTAAAGATCATATATGATATATATTTTTTAATACCTAGTGTGCGCGCGCGTTTCAAGCTACGCATGAAGCGCATGATGCACCATTCGTTCTTGTTGTTCACCAAATAATAAAGAAAGATAAAATGATACATCACGCGCTTCATACATAACTCGCACCCTTAAATCTTTTGACCCGACAATTTGCATATTATTTCGCACTCTCAATCGGAAACAGTAACGAATAAATTGCACTTCAGTCGAGCAAAGAAGTCAGTGAGCACAAAATATATTTTGCAAGTTGTTAAAAGAATATTTAATTAAAGAATCTCGTAAAAAATACTGAAAACATTATTAATAAACGAATTATAATATTATATTACATATGATTTTTTATTATATTTAAATTACTTATCTCGGTAATTCGTGTATTAATTACTCTAAGCTTTCAAAATCTAGAAATGATATAATGAGAAATTATTTTTATTTTTAAAACTTGAAGCGCGATACAAAATAGATTACGTAAGTATAATATTAGCATAATAAATTTAAACTTGCGTAATGATTTTAAAGGTTTTTTTAAAGCTTGAATATTTTTACACTGCATGTAAATTAATAAATAGAATTCTAGTTTCTATTTACGAATTATGAATTACGAATTTTAAGTATCTTTTATATGCAAAATGAAATAAGATATAATTAATTCCTTATATATACGATATGTACAATTTAAAGTAAACTAATTAAATTTTTTTTATTTCTAGATAATTTAAAGTATATATATATGCGATACTATATTATAACTTTAAAATTTTTATAATTTTGTTCTAAAAATATTTAAGTTAAATTTAAATTGATATTTACAAATCAATTTATATATTTTAATATTTTAAGAATGTATATATTTATGTATTTTATAAATTTATTTGCAAAGACAAATTTTTTATCCTACTCTTATATCTACAACAGTCTATATGATAATAAAACATGTGAATGATTTCAAATTACATATTCAAAACCCCGTTTAAACTATTTAAATGCGCTTTACTCCGCATTGCACAGATAAGTGGTTATTCAATCGCGAATTAATTATTCAGAACATATCATAATATGTTGTACATATGCTTCTGTACTGATATGATTTAAAGCTTTTAATCCAACAGTTGCATTACGTAGTTAAAAGATTATAACGAAATGCCATTTCAAGAGAATTTATATCCCTGATTATTGGATATTAACAAAACCGGTGTATTCCCTAAAATTCATTGAATTAAAATCTGTTGAATAATAATTTATGGTTGTCTGCGATTACTATGTAGAGATTTTTACCATTTACGTAACTATATAATAAACTTTAAAAAAACATCATAATCTAATAGTTTTTAATTAGTTAATTACTAATGATTATATATACTATGAAATTTTCATTTATGTACGCAACCTAATTCTGATTCCGTTTCGAAAATTATAGGCTTTGTAATTTTACTGAAAAGGTTATAAATCTTTTTTAACTTAATATTACCAAGTAACAAGTAATTATTAATTTTTTCATTAATATAAAAAGATTAATAAAGTTTCACCTGCTTCGTAGGATTTATCTATAGAGCGAGAATGTAGGAAATAATAATAACAGAAGAATAGAAGAAAAATGTGTTTCTCACATTTGTTTGCAGGATCTGGTCGTCATTCCGAGGAGTCGGCAATGTGTGCCATGTTACTGCCCAACATGCCGAAATTCCCACTTTATGAACTCAGTTGCCTCATATTCTTCCTCGTACCAATGTTGTCCATAGCGATGCTGTACGTGAGAATGGGTCTACGAATACAAAGTAATGGTCTCGGACGCAGCATCGAGGGTTCCGTTCACGGAGAAACGAGGCAGGCTCAATCACGAAAAGCCATCATCCGAATGCTCAGTAAATTTCCGTCTTTTCCGGAACACCACAACGCCACATTCGTATCACAAGAACACACATAGAATTTGCGCAACGTGCCCTATCGAATTTATAGTACCGGGCTAACCCCGCGTTTTATTTCGATCGCATTTGTTTTACACCGCTGAAACTACTAGGCATTATTTCATATGTTTTATAAATCATTCGCAATAGAATTTCGTATCACTGTCGTTCCGTTTTATCAATCTCTTTTGTTAAGAGAAACGAAGTCAAATGAATTGATTGAACTCGACACAAAGTGGATGTAACTTGTTTCTAAACAGTAATGCTGCAAAAGATATCGCATGTATATTTCTGATTGATATTGAGGTAACTTCGATATAACCTTGGCTAAAAATATTTTAGGCACCTTGTTGATCATCATTTAAAATTTTAACATAAAAATTAATTCATAGCATTTGCTGTAATTATTTTTTGTTTTATGAATCCTTTAAACTTATGTATAATGCCGGTAAGATCTCATCTATTTAGAATTCTTTTACCTGCGTTGTTACCATCAGAAAAAATATCTAATATTTTTCTCATCAATTTAAAATTCTTTTATCTGCATTATACCACACTATATCGCAAACTTAATTTATCAAGTACTAAGTTTTTTTTACTATATTTAAGTTAAATAAACCATCCATTAACTATATCAATAAAAACTTTATATTATTTGCTACTATAAAAAAATTAAAAACATAAAATATTTATTTTTTTATATTTAAAAAACTTTTTAAAATCTCCTTGCATTTTTACTATATATCTCATATATCTCACATAGCTTTGTTAGGTAAATTCTGGAGCGGTGTAAATACCGGAGTTACTTTATAATATCATGTTAAAGTTATAAAATTTTCATAACTGCGCGTAAAATATATCTGGAAATTTTATTTAAACAAGGCAAAAAAATTCGACAAAAAGGTACGTCGTTATATTTCTTCCATAACATACATCTTGTCCAAGTTCTGTATCATTGTGCTTTAATATTTCCAACATATGATAAATTGCAAGAAGTTGTATCGTGAATGATGCGTTTTCGAAAACTTATTACGGAGGTGTCAAAATTCCATGCGGTAACCGCATGGTTTTCATTCTCACGCGCACATTTCATGACGGTGGATGTTAAAATTCTGTAACATACTGACGTAATATCGGATGCTTTTCCAGTCCTGCAACCGTGTCGGCAAAGTTATCCCATTCTCATATCAACTTTGTAACGAGACACCTGATACCTTTTATTCTCCTATAATTCTAATATTTATTTGTTTCTTTTTTTAAGAAACATCTATGCATTTTCACTCGATTCCTCAGTTGATGCAATCTTAAAATTTACTTCAAGTTTATGAATAATTATAGCAATAAAACATTTATCCGTCGTCGCTAAGAAAAATAATGTTTGCATAATACAAATAGTTCCTTGATTTGGTTTTAATTATTCCCAGAGATACGACGTTGTATAACAACTAACAACGCTTCAAGTATAAAACTGTTATTCTTGAAAAAACAGGTCTTTAAAAAGAGATGAAGGTGCACCAATCGCGGTACAATCATACAATGTAAGAAACTTTTCAAATTTCCGGCATTCTCAATTTTTCATTGAATACGTTCAGAAAGAAAATATGACTTACGTCGGAAGAATAAATTTAAATATTAAAAAAACATTCGGAGTTTCTGCACATATATATATACTGAAGAAAATGCTAAATTATAATAAATATTTATTTTAATTATACTAACTAAATATTTACTAAATGTAAACATATTTATATGGTACAAAAATTATTAATTTGTATTAAAAGAATTATTATTCTTTTTATTGTGGTGAGTAAATATTTATTTTTTCAATAATACGAACTTAAAATAATTCATAGTAAATGTTTAGTTCATATTATTGAAAAAATATGTATTAAGATTTAATAAATTTTTTTTTAGTGTATATCTTCGAAACTAACGCGTATAAAATATAGAGTAAATAGAATTCTTTTGATAAAATTTAGTACAATTAAATTTTAATTAAATTGCACTTAATTATTATTAAATATTCTTTCGATACAATTTTTAAGCAGTAATTTAAATTAAATGGGGTTTAAATGCTTAATAAATTATTTTCCTAGTTTTTTATTACTACTGAAAATAATTTTTTTTTGCGTAAGGTTAGCTTCCTAATAATGAATGTCATTCCTCTATGTCTGTGTCGTTGCGCTTGTAAACTGTCGTGCAGCACATTTCCGAGAAGATAAAGAGGAAGTCGTTTGCAGCATCGATTAATCATCAAGCTGCTTAGGTTTCCTATTTCTATGGCCACGAAGATAACAGGACTGAGTAAAACCTATAAAGCAGTATGCGTTGACACAAATTTGCTGATTCACGAAAGCAAAGTATAGCTCGTAAACTATTCAAGCGTGACGATATAATAAATTACAGCAATACGCGAGAGCATATCGCACAATATAACAGAAGTACGAATATCATTTAAATTTCCATGAATATCTGTGTTCCATTGTTTCAATATATTTCTCAGTATCGCGCATAAATTCTCTTATTTGATGTACAGTTTCGAATCTCGTATCCTTTTTCATTCTAAAGCAATTGAAAATACTCGCTGATAGTAAACATTGCATCCTTTCCATTTCTGTCATTTCCATAAATACTTCGCTACTTCAAAAAACAGAAACAGAGAACGCATATTTTTTTTTTATTACATGAATACATTTCCATAATTGAGACAAGAAATAAATAAAACAACATTTCCGTGTCTGCATTCGTTATGGATGTACGGAATGGTGTGAACATTGATGAATTAATATTACAGATTTTTACATTTTCGGAGTACTTTTTAGATTCATGAAAAATTGATGATTCCAGTAAATAAAAATGTCTGAAGACGTTTTTACTTTCCCATTAATTTTAAACTCAAATATCCTAACACATTTTATTTGATCATTAATTTTGTTTAAAGAAAATCTTATTTTAGCAAATATTTAATTTAGAATCTTATTAGAGAGTTATTTAATTATTTTTGAAAATTAAGTTTTTTTTAGTAAATCAATAGTTACATGGAAAGTTAAAAAAAACGTTTATATTATTTTTAATCCTTTCCACGTGGCATTCCTCGTGCATTCTCCCTTATCCTCGAGAAGTGAAAACAGCGATATGGCTGTATGAAAGATACCGATGGCTTCATTCCACAGGTGCGGTCGTGGTAACATTTTTTATCTGCTGGGCGCCCTTTCACGCTCAGCGCTTATTGTACGTGTATCAGGTGTCGGCCTTCAGTGACATTAACGATTGGCTGTATCCACTCGGTGGTTGCCTGTACTACTTCAGCACCACCGTGAACCCGATCCTCTACAACGTGATGAGTGCTAAGTACAGACTGGCATTTAAAAAGACGTTGTACTGCACACCAACGAGCCCCATCATCACCAGGGACGACCTCAGCAGTATGAGAGATAGCACGGTGTGCAGATGTGGATCCAGAAGAGGGTCCCAGCTAGTTCGCGTAAGAAGTGTGCATTACCAACGTAGCATCAAGTAAGCACTCGCGCAATTAATTTACCTTCCCGTCAGTCCTATCAGTATTGAGATTATTTACTTATAGAAAACATACACAGTAATAAAGCACTTTGTATTTGTGTTCAAAACAATCCACTCAAGTTCTTGTTAAAATTTTGAGTTAAATTAATATTCAACATTTCCTAGTGTCAAAATAATAATTTATAGGTAAGTAATAAGTAATAAAAAAATAATGTATTTTAAAACATAAATTCTACAAAAATAAATAAAATACGTATTAATTTAACATATCATAAATATTAATTTTACTGGAAAAATATGCTTCCACAATTTACTTGCAAATTGTATTAATGTCACGTTTTACATTTCATTTTTTACATAATATTTGTGTTACTTTCTAACATATTCATCTTATATTAAATTAATACAAAAATTTGAGTGAACTGATTAAGATACGTGAAAATGTTAAATTCGACAAATAAATTAAACATAAATTTTCCAACTATATGCAATAATTTTTCATAACCCAGTTTCAAAGTACAAAACATTGAGAGAAAAGTGATTGGTATTTGTGACTATTGTATAGTAAAATAATTATTTTGATAAGGAGTTTTATTCTTTTATCGTTATTATTTGTTATTGCTTTAATATTACAATAATAATAATTATTTAATTTAATTATGTATTGTATATAATTTAATTATATGTATATATATAATTCTATAAAAAAATATATATTTGTACCAAAAATAATTACAAATTACAATTAAATTATGACAATTGCAATCATTTTTTTCTCTCAGTGAATTAATATTTACTAATAGTTTATTTACTTGTCAGTTCAAAGCTCGATCAGTAGTTTTGTTCAAAATGTTAAAATTACCGGAATCGAAATCCGCAATTATAATTAAAACAAGTGCAATTTTTGTTCATTCTCAGATGTAACGTGTCGCACACGAGCGCGATGCTTCGTTCGCCGATAAGATTGCGTTACGACGACGAAGACGACGACGTAAGCCATTGCGACACGGAGAGGATTCCGTGCGATGTTCTTACTCCTGACATGCAGCCACAAGATACAAGATCCCCTTTCGTCGCGCATTCAAGTAACGGCAGGACCAAATTTAGGTCGGGAGAGAAAACGAGAGACGGCATCTCACCGATTGCAGCGAATGAGACGTGTATCTGATCTCTGGCTTATTCCGACGGAAAAAGGAAAAAATGTTGTGGCACAAGGATTCTAAGGACCACTTGCGACCTCGACAAGAAGCAGCCGTGTCGTTTTCGCGTATATGATAAGATTGATGCACCGGACAACGCTGCGTATTATCTTACATTAAAAGACAACTTCCAGAGGCAAACGTGTCGCGATATCTTCCCTGAGGAGCGTGTTCGTAACCGGGACAAGGAATCGAGTTTTGTGGAAAGTTGCGTTTGAATGACGCTTTCAAACCTCACAAACGAAATTGTGAAGTGTTCGTGGCGAATATGTTGAATCAAGAAAAATTTAGCAATATCAGTAAGTTATATTACATTTATAATTTATTACAATATTGAATGTCGCAAAGTCGCAATCTCTAGTAAAGATTTTAATTAAACAAATTCTACGAGTAATTAAATAAATTAATTAATACGACACAAAATTATTAGTAAATTTGCATTAACAGAGAAAATATATATACGAATGGCAAAATCCAGTTACAAAACAAAATTTAATCTGATGTGGAACACAAATAAATCTTACAATTAGTGTGTGCAATTCTGAGTGCAGAAGGAATTTAGATGCTTCGGAATTTAAGCAATACCAATTGATGTATTTCACGTTAATCACAATAGTGATTCATAAATTACATAATATTATTATATAGCCTTTCAGGCTTTTAAATATAATTCAACAAAAATTAATGAAATCATATTTTTGGATGTTTCTAATATCAATAATTATTTTATCAGTAGTCTCAAGATTATAACTCTAATTTATATAATATATTTATAATATTTTTTTTATTTTTAATATGTAAGTATTAAAAAAACAAATTTTGCGAATAAAATAGCCGCGCAAATAATTTTGCTGAAAAAAAATTTTTTTTAATTATTTCAGTTATATAAATAAGTTTCTATAGTTAATTTTAGACAGTGCTAACAACAGTGTATTTATATTTCCGCGTCCAATTATTTTTCTATTAATAAGATTAATCAACCTACATTTCGAAAGTTATATAATAATTTGCAATTAGACAATTAACTATATTTTTAGTTTAATTGAAAATGAATGCTAAAAAGATGTATATTCGCACTGAGAAAAAAGTTTGCATTAATTCGAATTCTGATTAAAAGTGGATAAATCAAAATTTTCTGTTTGAGTCTATTATAAATTTTAGTTGAGATAATAAAAATTCTAATTGATGTAATCAGAATGTTCTGATACGTTCATTTTTAAGCAGAAATTTTTCTCAGTGTGTCTGTTACTACGTTTACACGGTTGGATTTACATCGAAGTTATAACATCGATGTCATAAAGCTAATCGATCATAGCTATTCCCTGAAGAATGGAATGACTGTGGCTAGTTTTATAACATGAATGCTATAACTTCGGCGTAAATCGAGCTGTGTAAACGTAGTCGTATATTTCACTATTTTTATCACGGTAAAACCACTACTGAAGCAATCAGTATATATAATTTGTGATACCCAGAATAATTTAAAAACAACGTTGTATATGAGATTGAAAGATAATTTGTATCGAAAAGACTGTACCAAGAATATTAAGATTGGACAGATTTAAAAAAGATAAAGAATGTGAACGATAAATCACGTAAATTCTTTCGCTGCGGCGTATACTGTTTGTAAAATGGCAAAAAGTGGTAGATTCGAAAGATAAATACTTTGATTGAAATGTTTGTACTTTTATATTAATAGATGCATTTAAAAAAAAACAATGGAAACTCATTTATGTAACTAACATGAAAAAAACGGTTTTGTTTAAAATACCTAAAATTTTAGCTAAATACTGATTTGAAAATAATTTTCTTGGATTACAAAATAATTATATTGGGCACTCAAGCATGATGAGCAACATTTTGACATTGTAGCAACCATTTTTCTACATAATTATTTTAATGGTCCAACAAAATTATTTTCAAATTTCTATTTATAGAGCTAAATTATTAGATCCTTCAGCTATTCTTACCATATAGTATTATACGATCACTTTTTATGTTTAGATTCTCTGCGACTATACAGTACATCAAGCATTTGCATGATCTATTAAAATTATTGGTTTTCGTCTTGTAACTCTATCTTGTCATTCATAAAACTTCTCTACGAGATCGTTGAAAGTTCTATTGACACTTTGCCTGCAGACGTTTGACGATTATTATAAATTCACAAGTGCGAAAAAGTTATAAGAGTACGTGAAATACAGATGATATTTAAAAGAACAAAATGACACGAGCGATATGTCGACAGAGAACTACATATCTACTTTCAAATGGATTCAAGAATCGCCTAGATATCTGAGGAATAAACACTCGACAATGACATACGGAAAGCGAAGAATGGAGGGAAGTAAATCCCTCTCGGAAATCCTCGATTTCGAGTTCTGTCGGAAAAGGGCTGATACTTATAGGATCTTCAATATATATCCCACCAACGAGACAGATAAGATGGCTCGGACAGTTTCTGTGGACTCGACCAACAACGCGTTCGATAAGCGCCTTGTGTATGTGTAATGCTCAAAGGAGACTACATCTCGATTAGAACAAAGCTTTTACAGGATAAACGGACACGAAGTCTCGCGATTAAGGTGCGGTTTACAAAATAAGTTCGTGTTTCTCGAAAACGAGAACTCGATTGTCTCTCGCGCTTATCCTCCATGAGAGGAAAAAATATTCGAGCGAACGTGTATTGTATTTGTGTATGCATACCCGTACGAGGTGGATAAAAGGGATCAGAGTAAAGGGATTTTATAATGTATTCGTACAAGAAGATTGCTCGCAAGCGGGATCCCACAGTACGTAATCTTGAGGGAATGCCGGTAGAGGAATTACTTTTCGTGCCTCAGGTATAGAATGAGTGGTGCGTAAAGAATTCAAATGCGGTCGAAGAGAGAACGGACAGAGAGACAGCTGGAGAAACGGAAAAGAAATAAAATCAAACTCGCCAGAGTTCGTATCCACACGCCGCCGGGGACTTCATTGTGATCGAGCGATTTTCATTTTCAGAACGTTCCCGGTTAAAATGAACTATCGCTGAGATGTATCGATTATCAGGGACGAACGCTCACTAATCCGCGTACGGACGCTCCGGTCGCGGAGTGTTTTTTAGCTCTCTGCTCATCCGCAAGCGGCGAACGCAGAATTTCGATCGATTTTTCAGGGTTGTCACAAATTGTCCTCATCCTAAAATTTCTTGAAATTCCCTGATGCTTTCAATAATATTTTGAAAATTTTGTATTTTTATCTTGATTTTTAGACACCATCAATTATTTTAGAGAGAGTATTAAGAGAGTAATTTATTCTCAATTATTAAGAGAATAATGTAACATAGCAAATCATTATTAATATTATTGATACCGTTTCAATTTAATTGTTAAGTTGGTAGCATTCTAAAACTGCGTGAGTGTAATGTAATCATATTAAGTTTTTTTTAAATTAGGAATTTTAATTTTCTAGAAAATTTTACAAAATTCCTGACTTTTTTCTGATTTCCCTGACTGTTCTTAATTTCTCTGACTTTTCTCTGATTTCCTTGATTTCCAGTTTTATGGCAACCCTATTCCTGTGCGAAAAAAACAGCCCGCAGCTTCCGCACTGAAGCAATCGCTGCGGCTTTGTTCAAGATTTAAGAATCTGTACATCGTGAATGTAACGAGATGCATTATGACAAATAAAATTTTGCTTTCTAGTAATTGCTGTTTATCCATTAATTCTGCGCTATAAACATTATTTATTGTAACGAAGTGAAATTTCAATAGTTGCGTTTTAATAAAACGTAACATGGCAAAGCCGGCAGTAAATAATAGTAACGCAAAATTGAAGTTTCAAAACAAAATGCAACTAGAATTTACCACTCGATAATGTTATTTGCCAATAAAAAAATTATAAAAATCGTAGACCGTGAGAACTATTTTTTAAATAAAAAAAACTATGACTTATGCATCCTCAAAAGAATTAATGTTTTAAATGTTTTTTATTATATACTAATATATGTTAAAAAATATTCTTTCGAATTTTAAGTTTTCCAAATTACCAGGTTTGCCAGAAGCACAAATTAGACACTATTCTAAGGTAAGTGTACCGTAACAGAACGTCAAGATAGTTAAAAGTCAGGCTGCATTTGTGCTGCTTATTCAGTTTCAGAAATAACATTTCAAAGGAAAGCGTGTTAGTAAGACCTATTATATGGCGGTTATTATGCAAGCATCGTGATGGCATTATTCCTAAAACTATTTTACAGAAACGTCTAATTGAATGGGCACTGTTAAATATCAAAGGAACAACTCAATCCCTTGAATTAATAACATTTTGTTAATTTTAACTTCCATATGTGGCAAAATAACTTCCATATGGGGTAAACAATCCATTTCTGTGATTAGTTTTAACGTAAACAACGTCTATGTGCATATTGTTAATACATGTATTTTAATAAATTAAATTTGAGTTAATAAATTTGATAAATTTTTTTAATTAAATTGTTTAACTCTATCGTTTTAGTTAAATTAACAACATATTGAGTAGAAGCATGATTAAATGATTAAAAGTAACTAAAACTGGGTATAATCTGACATTACAAATTTAACAGTGTAGTATTAAATAATTTCATTTCGCAAACAATTGATAAATTTTTAAATAGATGTCCTAAATAGTATATATATATATATATA